AAAACCCACACACAACGATTTAGGCCTTGTGCGTGTGTCGGTGTGTGTGGGGGCGCAAAAGACCTCTGCTCGCGTCTTGTTGCCGGTGAAGATCTGGAGCAGACGGTAGATGCGCTGGAACTCGACCTCATCATTGTAGGGGGAGCCGTTGAGCTTGCCTGCACACACACTCACACAGCAGCCACCGCAGATCAGTGCACGCATCCCACCCGGCTGCTTACGGTCGGGGCGTGTGTGTTGCCATTCGCCATTGCTGTCATTGCACCAGAACTTGGTCTCGTCGCACTCATCGACGCGCAGGTCCGCCAACGTCAGGTGCGGCACCAACTCAGCGCACGGTAAGCGATGCAGTCTCGCCATGGCCCCCTGCTGCTGCCCAAACGCCATATTGCTGCTACTGCAAGACGACCTGACACCACACAGACAGACAGATATGTGGGCGTGCTGATGGTTAGATGGATCGATCAAGTGCGTCCGTACCCCTGTTGCCTGTGGCTGGTGGTGATGCAATCATGTGGAGTGTGGGGTCCGCAGACGAGTCGAGCGCACCTGCACACACAAATACATCCTCCCTCCCTCCCCGATCCACACACATGCATACCTGTCTCCTCGATGGTGAGTTGGTCGCTGCCCCAAACGCACCGCACCGTCAGCCGCTTGCCCGCCTGGATGGTCACCGCTCGTAGGACGTCGCGCTTCACCACGTTGCCGTCCCGGTCGAGGAAGAGGTACTGGAACTAGATGTCCATGAACACGATGATCCACGCCACGCTCCGTCGGTCGCACGTCAGCGGGATGCTCTCCTCAGCCCCGCATGCGCCGAGGTACTTGTGGTCGCCGCTGAGCGCCAGCCTGTAGTCGCCCGGAATGGAGAACGGCACGTCGCGCACCTCAAACAGCACCACTGCAGGGGCCGCCACACCATACTCGCGTTCAACGAGGCGGCAACAACAATGCCTTTCACCTGAGCATCAGAAGCACAGGAGAGGAGGATACAAGACACGCGCTGTCCCCACCCATTTTGTGCGAGAGCCATGCACCGGCTCACCGTCCCCGCATGAAGTTGTCCAAGCAGGTGCGTCAGCATCAATAGCAGAGACACTCCAATATAAAATGTAGGCGGCGATTGAGGCCGCGTGGGCCTCCTGTGGCTGAAACACACACACACAAACAGAGGGAGGGAGACACAATGCATCCCGACGCAGCATGCACCGCATGGCACTGCGTGTCGTGCATTCCTGGCTGCGTGAAAGTGGGCGGGCTGCCCTCACCGCATACGGGATGGCCTCGTACAACGCCGTCGTCGCTCATCGACGGCTCGGCCTTGGCGGCGGCGATAAAGCGGCGCAAATGGGGTGCGCTCATGGTGTGGGGGGCAGCGATATCAACAATGACAAGAGGGCTGCAGCAAACACCGCGGACCTCACTTTTCGCTGCAGCAAACACCGCACGGCTGAGACCCTTTCTCTCTCTCTCTGCGTGTGTGTGTTTTTGTGTGACCACCGCCTCCCTCCTTCCCAACTCCCTCACCGCTGACGGGCTTCACTCGAGTCCCATGGCCATGCTCAGTTCCTGCGTGAAGGCCATGTGCACGAACTCTGGCATGTAGCAGCCCTGCCGGAGGGCACCGACGTGGGCGCGCCGCAGCATGGGGGGGACCTCGGCCATCGGCAGGAGGGCGAACTCCTCCAAGGTGAATGTCCCCGCCGGCGGGAGGGGCACCAGGGGCGGGGGCAGGTTGGCCGCGGCGAAGGCCGGCGGGGGCAGTTGCACATAGGGCCCAGCTGAGGGCAGGATAACACACACAGAGGGAGGAATGGATGTGTGGCCGTCTGGCTGTGTGTGTGTTTGTGTGTGTGAGTGCGTACCAGGAGCCTGCAGGCCGTGTAACTCCTTGGCGGCGTGGGACGCCTTCTCGGCACGGGCGGCTTCCAACTTATCATCATACTCTGAAGCAGCAACGGCAGACACACACACACACTCAACATGCGTGTTGGAGAATGCGCGCATTCATCCCTCCCGCCCCGTGTGTGTCGACTGACTGGCTGGGTGTGCTTACTGGCGTGGAACCGCCTGGCCTGGACTTTGAGAACGCGGTTGCGGACGCGGATGAACTCGAGCCACTCGCGGTGGCTGTCGTCCTCCAACTCGAGCTTCTCCGCCTGCCGCGTCTGCACACACAGACCACGGAGAGAGACATTCCAGCAATGCATCGCCATGACAGATTGCCTCCTCGCCAATGGCATGCAGCTGTGCAATGACGCACACCCCTCCGTTCCATGCAGACAGAATGCACTGCGGCACGGCACTGCGCGTCACGCATTCCTGGCTGTGTGTCGGTGGGGGGGCTGCCTCACCTCAAATGGAATGGCGTCCCACAACGCCGTCACCTCCTCGTCGCTCATCGAGGGGCTGGCCTTGACGGCTCCTCAGGTGGGGCGCGCTCATCGTCACGCGGCAGCAGCAGCACTGACAGTCGCACCGAACACTGCAACACGGAACAGCCGCCTTCTCTGGCCATCTCGATCTCCTCATACCCTCTCATGCTGCTGATCTGCTCGCTCACGCGGGTGATCTGCTCGCTGAGTCGATGCACATCCACCCCATCGGCCCCACTCCCACCCCCATCCCCGGCGTCGGCGGCATCCATGGCGTCGAAGACTGCAGGACCAGCAGCTCCCACATACGCACACAACATGAGTATTGGAGAGTGATCAATCGCTTACTGGCGTAACAGCGGTCGAACGCCTCGAACATCTGCTGCAGGACGGACCTGCAAACAGAAAGGACAATGAAAGTGGTGCATGGGCCTTGTTAGCGGCCAGCCATCTTACCGGATACTGTCGTAGTTGGGCTTGGCTGGCTTCTTGGCGGCTCTCTTGGCGGGCTTCTTGGTGACTTTCTTCTTCATCGGCGCCTTGCGCACCTGCTCGGCCTTCGCCGCTGCCTTGCCGCGCTTGGGTGGGGGAGACACCGACCGGCCACGTGGCTTCGGCGCAGCAGACACCTCCGGACGAGCCTTCTTCTTGCCGGCCCGCTCCTCGTTCTCGTCCTCCTCGACTTCCTCAGCCAGAGGCGGCTTCCCGCCTTTCTTCTTGGGAGGAGAGGGGGATCGTGGCCTGGCCTTCGTCTTAACTGCTGCGAGGGGCCGGGGATGGGGGATGATGGAGGGCGGCCTCCTCCTGGGAAGCCTTCCACTTGCCTGCGCCCTGGCCGAACTCCTTGGTGATGTCCCAGTTGTCCTTGTGGTGGTGGGCATACGCCTCAAACATGTCCCGCAGCAGGGACCTGCCAAAAGAAAAGACAATGAGTGGTGGTGGGTCTTGTTTGAAACCAATCTTTAAGGTACCGGATGTAGCTGTAGTTTGGCTTGGTCTCGTACTTGTAGCTGTTGAGCTTGACCCACAGCTGCCGCTGCACACACCAGGGAGAGCAGGAGACGACAAGGGACACAAGAAGAACAATGCACCTTCCTGTCTCACTCACACGCATCTGGGGTGGCATGGCCTTGGTGAGCTCGTCGAAGTCCTTCAGCAGCTGCTCCTCGGCCAGTGGGCTGGCCGGCTGGTGGCCGCGCGCAGGTTGTGTAAGCGAAGGGCGGGGGCAGCCTGGCTGGTGTGGACGGCCTCGACTTTGTCTTGATGACCTCCTTCTCCTGAGGACACAAACAGCAAACAAGCACCCGTATGTCGTGTATGTCTTCTTGCGGTGCGGTTGGCCTACGGCATGTCGACCAACATCATCTCGAGGACGCGGGAACGGCTGAGGCGTCGCGGGGGTGCTACCGCAAGGGCCGCAGCGAGCAGCGCAGCAGCTGCCTCTCCGAGATTGGGGGCGAGGAAGGGATCCTTCGTGGTCTTTAGAATCTTCAGGCCTCGCGGATTACACTCCAATATAAATGTAGTGATATCTACCTCTGATGTCTGGGCTTCTTCCGCGTCGGCTCCAGCCATCCCGACGCCAGCTGTCGCGAGCAGCCGCTGCACCTCCCATGACGTCTCTCGATGGCCGCCGAATTCGGCGGCCGAATATGCGGAAACACGCAGAGAAAAGAGAAGAGACACGATGAAGTGCCTTTTCTGTCTCCCTTTCGCCCTCACCTACGTACGTACCTGGCAGGCCGCCGGGCGCAGATCGATATGGATTGAGTAGGTCCATCGGGGATGCAAGGTGGAGACGGCGGTCGATCTGTACAGTACCACAAAGGCGGACACGAGACACGTAGACGGGAGTTGATCAGTCTGTTTGACAGCTCACCTTCGATGCCCACATGGATGGCGGGGGACGGCAATGCGGTTGAAGGAATTGTCATGGGCCCATCGGATATAAAATGTAGCCAGCGATTTCTGAGGCCAAACAGAAAGAAGCCTGTTGGTTGACATATTGGATGCATGGATGGATGCACTGCTATCTGCTCATTCACCCACCCATCGCCTTCTATCCCCACAGCCACCCCGACGAGAGGGGCAGCCGAGACATTAAGGAGGCAATGGGCTCGGCTAAGGGGCGTGGCACCGCAGGCAGTCCGACACCAGCAGCAGCAGCAGCAATGCAACAAAACACCGGCCACCGAGCTACAGGGGTTTACAGCACCACCTGCACACAGCACAGCACAGCACATCAGACAGACAGACAGAGAGGAGACCATGAGCACAGCTGACCCGCTCTCCCTCTCCCTCCCTCTCCCTCTTTCTCTCTGTGACCACCTCATCCCCCCAAAACACTCACCAGTTATGGATCAGGGCAGCCCGATGGCCTGGCTCATCTTCCACCAGAACCACCCGTCGACCATCGCCTTAAGGTGGCCCTTGCGCAGCCGCTGGACAGCCCGTGCCGCCAGCAGCGTCGGCCGCACCGCCCAGGGCACCGCGTGCATGGGCGTCTAGGTGAACTTGAACATCTCCACGGGGCCCAGGGGCGGCACATAAAACGCCGGCAGCACAGGCAGGGCCAGGTTGGGCACACCACACACGGCAGGTGGCGGATGGTAGTTGTTGTGGGGCGGGGCTGAGCAAAGGAGCGGACCACACAGACAGACAGACAGACAGGGAGAGAGAAGGGGATGCATATGTATGTGTGGGTATGTATTGTCCCCCCTCCCAGCTCCCTCGCTCCCTCCCTCCCTCCCTCTCTGTCTGTGTGTGTGTGCCTACGGATGGCCTGCGGCCCGGGGAAGGCATAGTGGTCCTGGGCGGCACCCGTAGTGAAGTTGATGGCGGCGCCGAACTTGGCGGCCTCCTCCTCCAACAGGGCGGCCTCCACGACTGCACATAGCACACAAAAAGAGGGGGAGAGATGTAGTGAGCGAGGGAATCCCCAAAGCTTTGTGTTCGTCCCTCACATGCACAAGTGCGTTGTGGTGGACAGATGGACGTGTCCATTAGACGCGCCGGTTGGTCGTGGGGGTCCATCGTTGTCCTGCAGCTTGGCCAACTGCCCATACGTCTCTCGATGGCCGCCGAATTCGGCGGCCAAATATGCGGAAACAGAGAAAAGAGAAGAGACACGATGAAGTGCCTTTTCTGTCTCCATTTCTCCCTCACCTACGTACGTACCTGGCAGGCCGCCGGGCGCAGATCGATATGGATTGAGTAGGTCCATCGGGGATGCAAGGTGGA